AATACTGATTTTATGCAAACTATACAGTTGGAATCTTGCAGATAGGCACCTCGTTGAAGAGTTGCTACATAGTATTTACTTCTTGGGCGGCTACCAGAAAGGAGGGGAGCAAATATACGATATAACCTCGTAATTCTGCTTGATTTTATTGATCCCCCGTAAACTCGTAAGACTTGCCTTGGTCATGTTCTGAATCTCATCGCGGTGTGTAATGCCGAGGTTAAATATGAAGGGCTGGTGTGAGATGCTGTGACAGTCACCGCACTTAAGCCCCAAGCTGGTGAGGCCGACCGGGCCGAATTGGTATAAACTTTTCAGCTTCAACGGCTAGGGGCGCACGTATCCAACCGTGGTGTTATTTGTTGTAGGCAAAATGCCCGGCTTGCAGAAATTGCCGCACCGGGTCGCCTTCAGGTCATGATAGATGGAAACCGAAGAAATCCCCTCTTCTTTTCTCCAGTTGGAGGTGGGACATGTAACTGGACACCTACCTACATTGTTAACGTTAATCCCATGAATAGACTTAACATGCCTAATCTAGAAACGGGCCACGGGATCCTTTGATACCTAGGTACATGACTCAGAGTGCTACATGAAGATCGAAATTCCCCGTGCCACGCTAACTTGAGCACGTCTCCCCTGAGCGATATGGGGACCACAGTATGAGCACCAATAGCAAAATGCACGCAGCGCAAAGGAAGCCAGAATGACATAGATGGTAGCCGTCCGGGCGTGGTCACAAGAAGCTTTTGCCAATCGCATGGCAAGTATTGGCATTGGCGGCGGCTGCAGCCAAGAACACAGTAGGTTTGAGGGGAAAATATAGGGATGCCAAGAGAAGGCGGATTGTAACCTTGGTAGATAGCCAGTTAGCCACGCAAATGTTCCAGGTCAGTGACGGGAATTGCGGGGTCTCGGAGGTCCCATGCCACATACATGATGCCGGCTAATAAAACTGAGTTCCCGTACGGACTTAAGAAATAGTCGGCTTATGCTCTACCGTGGGTGTTCACTTGACTGTGACACATGTCGGACGTCGTCCGAGGACGTCCCCAAGCCACCGAAGCCTGTCCCAAGTTCTTACGGGGAAGCAGCGCTAAGCTTCGACCCCGGACGGGAGAAAGGTTAAATGCTTCCAGGTTTGGAGAGACTTGTGGTTCCTGCACGTGGAATATCCAGATTCTGTAGGGACATTCATGGATATTACAGTGCCCAGCTATGCGCAGAAATCAGCCTATATACCGAGGGTGCGAAGTCGGGTTGTTTACTAGGTGGGTCATAAGATTGTCCTTCTCCACAACCCCGGTCTGGGCAGAAATCTGGAGTATGTTTTGGCCGGGGTTTGATGTCAGACTGTGTAATTAGTATAAGCCCTAACACTACACTCTAGCGTAGTTGCCCGAGTATCTCCATATCTCCCCGAATCCGGCAGAGGAAGCGTCCGAAGGTAACGGCGATAGAACCCAATCAGCAGAGCTAGGGATGTCCTTGTTCCGATATCGTGCCTTGCATCCGCAGAACGCAAATTGGCCAGACTCTCTGGATTGGCTGAGTGGAGTTACGAAGTCTATATAGGTCTCTGTATAGAAGGGATCGGCGGGGCTTGGATCCATTCCCCAGGTCTCCAGGCTGACCCGAGGCGACTGGTGGTGGCCATTTGGATTTTGGCTTTTGCTTTTTACTTTTTGCTTTTTGACTGGGGCTCCGGAGTCGGTCCTGGTATTTAGAATGCTGTCCCCCGCGTTTGTATAAGTTTTGAATCTCCTTCTTTTCCCTACCGTTGGAACCTTGCATAAGTTCAGGTTACCCTCCCTGTTTCTCTCTACTGCTACACCCTGAGGTTCACGCCAGTAGCAGCCATGGAGACCGATGGCAAGCCCCAACACGTAACCGCGTCGCCAGACGTGGAGGAAAACATGAGTGTTAGCCAATACATCGCGACGCGCTTCACCTCGTTGATACCACCGATGAACCCCGCGCCAAACCCGTTCAAGGCCCTAACCCTCCTAAACCGGCAACAGTGGCTAAATTTCTTGGTACGCCGATCTCCCATAAGGCTGAACACAAACCAAACTAACCATCTACCACAGGTCGCATTCTGCGGCTGGTCATGGGACGCCTTCGACTTCTTCACTGTCTCTCTGACAACCTCCCAGCTCGCCAAAACCTTCGACAAAACTATCACAGACATAACATGGGGAATAACTCTAGTCCTAATGCTCCGCTCCGTCGGCGCCATAATCTTCGGAATCGCTTCAGACCGCTGGGGCCGCAAATGGCCCTTCATCGTTAACCAACTGCTCTTTGTCGTCCTCGAGCTAGGTGCCGGCTTCTGCCAAACCTACAAACAATTCCTGGCCTGTCGCGCCCTCTTCGGTATCGCCATGGGAGGTCTGTATGGCAATGCAGCTGCCACCGCGCTCGAGGACTGTCCCGCCGAGGCGCGTGGTATTATCTCCGGTCTGCTGCAGCAGGGTTATGCTTTTGGATACCTGCTCGCCACGGCTTTTGCTCGCGCGCTCGTTGACACGACCCCGCACGGATGGCGTCCGCTTTATTGGTTTGCGGCTTGTCCGCCTGTCCTTATTATCATCTTCCGTTTGTTCTTGGGTGAGACGGAGACTTTCCAGCGAAGACAGGAGACGCGCGCGGAGATGCGCGGTGGCGTTGCTGCTTCGTTCTTGTCGGAGGGCAAGGTTGCGCTGAAGCGTCATTGGCTTCTTCTTATTTATCTGGTATTGCTGATGGCTGGATTTAACTTTATGGTATGTCACACACCCACGCTACAGCTATAACTTGCAATCGCATGTATCATTGCTAACATATCACCCTACTATCCAGTCCCACGGCTCCCAGGATCTCTACCCGACAATGCTACAGAACCAATTCAACTTCTCCAAAAACGCAGTCACAGTCACCCAAGTCGTGGCAAACCTAGGCGCTCTCTCAGGCGGCACACTCTGCGGCTGGGCAAGTCAAATCTTCGGCCGCCGCTTCTCAATCATTGTCATCTCCATCGTCGGCGGCGCCCTGCTGTACCCCTACACATTCGTCACAAACAAGAATGTCATTGCCGCCGCCTACTTCGAGCAATTCATGGTCCAAGGCGCCTGGGGTGTAATCCCCATCCACCTGATGGAGTTGTCTCCCGGCCCGATCCGGACGTTCGCTGTTGGAACGGCTTACCAGCTTGGAAATCTTGTTTCCTCGGCTAGTTCGACTATTGAGTCGACTATTGGTGAGCGGTTCCCCTTGCCGCCCACTGCGGCGACGCAGCATCGCTATGAGTATGGGAAGGTGATTTGTATTTTTATGGGGTGTGTTTTTGCTTATGTTATTCTTATTACTTTTGTTGGGCCTGAGAGATTGGGGAGGAACTTTGATGCTGAGCATGATGCTGATTTGCAGGTTGTTGCTGCTCATCGGGGTATGGATAGGAAGGGGGATCCCGATGAGGAGAAGGGGAGGGTAGAGACTGTGGAGTAGATTTCACAGTATTATTGTGCTTGAACATATACTTTACGAATTTGCCCTAGGATTATGTGATATGGAATGTTTGTCTTGGATATCTTTTGTTCGTGGCTATACCTATACCTGTATGTCGCCGATCGTTGTCTGGCCATTCGTCTTAGTTCGCTGTTCGCTCTCATAGCTCCACAGTAAACGATATGTATAATAAAAGCCTTATATAATCTGGGAAATGTTGAAGACTAGTTAGCCTGGCTCTATATATATGCCTCAACAACACATTATTCGAAAAACTAGAATCAGAATCTGCTTAATTGTACTCGCTCACTCTAGCCCACCGAGCTAGTCCTTGGGTTGCAAGGTATCTTCATTCGAAATAAACGACAACAATACATGAAAAGTACCCACCTGCTACTGTGAATTAAAGTGTATTAGTGTCAAGTGCCAATTGTGGAGGTGTGTCTAGGCCAGAGTAAACCAGGTCGGACTGCAGACTCTTTATAGCATCAAACCCCGCACTTGTCTTACACGTGAGTTGGACAGAGATTAGAATTACAGGCGACTAGGATATACTGTAGATGTGTGATAATAATAGAATTAGGTATGGCATGACTTCATAGGTTTAGCTGTAGATAAGTTAGCTGTAGATAAGTTACCCGTTGAGTTAGGTTAAGTTAGTTACCCGTGTGCATATGGAGTACAGGGTCTGGTCACGCAATTTCTCCTGATTATAGAGTCATGGAGGATCAGGAGAGTTTATATTGCGAGTGCAATTAGGAGGATGAAAAGGCTTCATAGGTAAAAAGGTGAAATGTTAACACAGAGGTGCCAGTGTATTTGCTTACCTGTTGGTGGTCAGTGTTAGCGCAATGCGAATCAGACTGAGACATAACTAGAGCTAATCAAACCTGGTTGGCCCTTCCAGACATTTAGCAGCTCAGATCTCAGCATAGATATGCATGTCTTCGGTGTGACTTAGGGGCATACGCGTCCTGCAGGAACTGTTAACCTACGATACACGGTTGCCTGCTGTGCCCGCAAATTCCTTGACTTTTGTCCAATATCCACGTACGCATTTGCTGATCATTGAAAATTATATATCATAGGCATTTAGGCTAAAAATTGAAAACTTGGGGGCTTGTTCGGTATTCAAGCTCTGTAAAGTAGATGCATGTCTCATGCCAAGCCTGCCTTGCCAATTGCGTCCAAAAGAAAAAGCAGACCCTAGAACTTCATTTCTCTGGAGACCTTCCCCTACTACTACAGTACACTACTACACTATCCCACTTCCTTGCGTGCCCACAATAATAAGGGACTCAGGGACTCAGGGACTTTTCTCCATGCCAAGGCCCAGACAAACCACCAACCGCCCTTCCATAACCCGTCTTCCCTCGCATTCCACCCCTTCCCTTTCCCTCCCCATCCTCTATCCTTACTCGCCTGAGGGTTTGTGTGCGAGGCTTAACCCCCTGCGCCAAGAAACCCGGTCCCTGTGCCTGTGAGTGCTGGATGAGCCGGCTCCGCCTCCTCCAATGCACAGACGCTCGTCGGGCTCCCCTGTCGAGGACGAAGATTCCTCGGTCTCCCGAACCCCAGACGACCATGGCTCCAACGCCCTTGACGAGAAATCGCGATCTCAGATAGCCCGGCGCGGCACCAGCTTTGACCTCCGTCGCGACGGCAGCGCGACACCGCGCTCCCGGAATTCGAGCATGTGGCGCACCCCGTCCTCCCAACCTTCCAACGATACCAAGACCATGCCATTGGGCTCTCCTCGGCTCCCGATGGAGACTTCCTCCCCCGAAGGTCGTCGCTCGCGACAGTCCCGTCTGCGCAATCCGTGGTCCTGCTCGATCCTGACGGCGTTTACGACCTGCGTCGCTGTGGCGATTTTGATCTCCATTGTCCATTCTTTCACCGATCGGCACGTCGGCGGTGATGGTTGCGGTGTGCCGATGATGAGTCCGACCTTTATTCGCATGTTGGAGTTTGATACGGAACATACCCGCTTTGCGAGCAAATACAACCTATTCGTGTACCGGGAGGAAGGCGTGGATCCTTACACTCCGGATAACATCGGGGTATGGTGATCTGGATTTGTGACATGCGATTGACCTGGGCTGACTCCTTTCTAGTTGAATGGCGTCCCCGTTCTTTTCCTCCCCGGTAACGCCGGCAGCTACCGACAGGTCCGGTCTCTGGCCGCCGAGGCCTCGCGCCATTACTACGATGTGGTTCGACACGATGAGAGCAGACATGCGGCCGGAACGCGGAGCTTGGATTTCTTCATGGTGGACTTCAACGAGGATATGGCGGCGTTCCATGGACAGACTCTGTTGGATCAGGCGGAATACGTGAACGAGGCGATATCTTACATTCTATCACTTTACCACGACCCGCGACGAACGCGCCGAGATCCTGGCTTACCAGACCCGAGTGCTGTCGTTCTAATTGGTCACTCCATGGGTGGAATCGTGGCTCGAACTGCTCTGACGATGGCCAACTACCAGGCCAATTCGGTTAACACGATCATCACCATGTCCGCGCCACACGCAAAACCACCTGTCTCATTTGACTCCGATATTGTCCACACCTACAAACAAATCAACGACTACTGGCGCGACGCCTATGCGCAGACATGGGCTAATAACAACCCCCTGTGGCACGTCACCCTTATCTCTATTGCTGGTGGTGCGCGTGATACGGTAGTTTCCTCCGACTACGCCAGTATCTCTTCCCTCGTGCCCGAGACACACGGGTTCACCGTCTTCACGTCTTCGATCCCGAATGTCTGGATTGGGATGGATCACCTGTCGATCACTTGGTGTGACCAGTTCCGCAAAGCAATCATCAAATCTCTATTTGAAATTGTCGATGCCCGACGCCCTACACAAACGAAACCACGAGCGGAGCGCATGCGTGTTCTGAAGAAGTGGTATTTGACTGGATTGGAGCCGGTAGCGGAGCGGACTCTACCACAGAAGGAAGCAAACACCCTTCTGACCCTTGAGGATAATGCAAACACCATTCTCGCCCAGGGCCAAAGACTGATCCTGCGCGAGCTGGGCCTGCAACATGGTCCGGATGTGCGTCTTTTGCCGATTCCTCCTCAGGGTGTCTCCGGTAAGAAGTTCACACTGCTCACGGACCAGACACTCGAGAAGAGTGGAAACATCGAGGTTCTATTCTGCAGCGTCTTCCCGCTGTCCAATGGTCGTTCAACCAACTTCCCATTGAATTTGGATTTCTCTGGTGGCACGGTGGGCTCGACCCGTTTGGCTTGCAAGAGCGCGGCCGAGGACAGCATTTACCTGCCTGCTTCAACCCTCTCGTCAAAACATGCCTATGACCGTGTCTCGCCGTTCTCATACCTCCAGTATGACTTGGAGGGTCTTGCGGAACATCAATTTGTAGCTGTCGTGGATAAGGCTAACGTTCCGACTTCGGGATTCCTTGTCGCCGAGTTCTCGGATAGCTCTGATGCGATGATTCGGGCTAAGGTGGGCTTGGGCGGCTTGCTGAGTGCCGGTCTGAAGATGCGGCTACCCGCGAACCGGCCCATGCTCACAGAGGTCAAGATACCCGCGCTGCATTCCAGTCTGCTTGACTACAGGTTGAAGATTACCCGGCACCCACAGAAAGAGGAGTTGTTTGCTCCGTTGCTTCGGCAGTCTGTCTCCGACCCTCATGAGTCGAAGTTTTTCGTTAATGTCAACGAGGTCAACGTAAACCTGCATGGTATGGCACCATACATGCCGCCAGCGATTCGCGAGCAGGCTGCTCTTGGAGGCGTGTCTTTCCATCTGTGGACGGACCCAAGCTCCGAATCGACAGTCGATATCTCTCTTCAAGTTGACCTCACCAGTAGTCTTGGTGAATTGGTTATGCGCTATCGAACCATCTTCGCTGCGTTCCCGCTGCTTGTCGTTGCTCTCGTTCTTCGCAAGCAGTTCCAGATCTACGATGAGTCTGGCTACTTTATCCCCTTTACCGATGGTCTTGACCGCGCTCTGCGATCTTCCTTCCCACTCTTACTGGTGGCCATGTCGCTGTTGGCTACTTCCTTGGCCACCACGAAAGCCTTACCCCAGACTGACGAGACTCTCCACTGGCGGACGAATTCCACCGAGACTCCAGTCGACTTCACCAAGAACGATCTCTTGCTGGGATCCCAAGACGCTTTCTTCTGGTTCCTGGTCCCAGTCTTTGGTCTTATCAGTGTCGGAGTCTGCGTGCTCGTCAACTACCTCGCCCTTGCCCTCGTTAACATCTTCTCATGGGTGTACGGGGTTCTGCATAGCAAATCAGGCTATATCCGGCGTGAAGACCGCGGCAACCTGCCAATATTCAGTACCCCAACGCCTCGACGACGCATCGTCCACACTGCCATCCTCCTGGTTCTTGTCTCGACTGTTATCCCATACCAGTTTGCCTATATGGTCGCCTGTATTGTGCAGCTGGCGACATGTGTGCGGGCACAGTGGCATGCCAAGGAAACCAGATCCACCTCTCACCTCAACTTCGGTAACTATGCACACTCGATCTTGATCTTGATGCTGTGGATCCTTCCTATCAACGTGTTGGTTCTCCTGGTCTGGGCGCACAACCTCGTCGTGCACTGGTTTATGCCCTTTTCATCCCACCACAACGTCCTCTCTATCATGCCCTTCCTTATCCTCGTAGAGACCATGACTAGCGGCGCTATGATTCCGCGTATCACAACCAGGTATGTATCATCACTGCCTATATCATATAATTCGATTTAACACCTCTACAGGTTCCGACACATCACCTCCATGATCTTCTTCGCCATCGCCATATACTCGGCGATCTACGGCGTCTCCTACGCCTACCTCCTCCACCACCTCGCCAACCTCCTCGCAGCCTGGTTCGTCGGCATCTACCTATTCGGCAATAACTTCTCCCCGCGCCGTCTCTGGCGCATCATCGATGGCGACGAGCTTCCCTCGGAATCAGGAAGCAGTCACGTTAAGAAGAAGCCATGAGTCCAGTCCATTTTTAATCCGTCTTGTTTGTTTTGCCTCGGAGTTGCAAGTTGCACCGCGCATTTGGGTCTGGAGTTCGAGCGTTTACTTGTCTTTGTTGATTTATTTCTCTTTGTGCCCTTGTACAGACATCGGGATCCCTCATTCCTGTCGGCATTCATGTTCATCTTACCCTGAACTGAACTAAACTCTTTCATCCTCTCTGATACTACTCGACGCTTGCAACCCAGATTTTCCGCTTCGGTGTCTTTTCTGGGTCACAGGAATCCTGTGTATATACTCTTGTGTCTTTTTTGTGTCTTTGCTTTTTTGTTCGACCACGATCTTGGACATAAAATATGGGTTTGCTGCGGGGATGGGATGGGATGGGGCTGTTTTTTTCTGATTCGTGGTTTGTGTATGTGTTTTGTTTCCTGGTCTATAGAGCTGTGCATCACATACTAATTAAAGTACCCTTACCTATACATCTTACCTTCCTCTTTATACACATACAGGCAGATTTATACATAGGCTATGGATCTTCATCTGCGTAGTATATAACATGTGAATAGAATATCTGCGAGAATAACATCATCTTGTTCCAATCTACCTCGCCAGTGGTGGTGATGTACGTACATACATTGTAGGTACGTACCCCCATCACACAGAACACAGAACCCCTTTCCACATCGCATGAACCCGTCCAGCCTCACAGCATCAACATAAGACCGACCCTCCGATAGGTTGCTTCGTCTTACCCCTTTTCCAGGTACAGTAATTATCCCTCTCGAAGATGATAGGCCCATCATCTTGAGATCAGCGCCTAGGGGGCTACATGTTCATGGCTACATGTCGATAGGTTACTCCGTACTGTAATCTGCATAGTATAAGTTATATCAGACAAACAGACCAAAGACCAAAGCGCATTCCCAGCAAAAATATCTAGTAAAAAGGGGCTGGATATAGTAAACATGAGACAGGGGTCTTGAAAGGAAAAGGGGGCAAAGCCACACTACACCACAATACGAGAAAGGCAGAAAAAGGAAGTGACTAAACAGTAGATTTTCGATATTGGGATCTACTGTAACAGGATCAAAGATCGAAAGATAATAGAGTTATTCCCCTTACTCCTTGCCCCGTCTACCCCGGACTCGAAGATAATATAATAATTCGGGGGTGGAGACATTGTATGCGGCCATAAGTCCTGCAAGGCTAAACACCAAGACCAAGACCCAAGACCAAGACTAACCCTAGGTAAGACTAACGCTAAGGAAGGGGGGCAAATTCGCCCCCATCCCTTCTTTCCCCATTAAATAAACAACTGGGGCCTTTGTGCTATGCGGATCGGATCCACTGTCTAACTGTAGAGACGGGGAGGTGCAGATGTACCTTAGTGAAAGTGATGACCTCGACCCGACGTAGGGTAAATAAGAATGGTCAACGGTGGCGTTGAAACGCCACTATTGAAAAATTATGAATAGAATCGAAAGAACACCGGGTAATGTAGAAAAAGGGGAATTTATTCCGGGTTCAAGATCTAATGATTCGCTGCGGGTGAGTCGGCAATTGTTAAACGGAACAATGCTGAAGGGGAAAGTAAGGATTCGTTCTGTATTCCTGTGGATTACCGATCTCCCACGCTTTTTAGCTTTTGGCTTTTGATTTGGATTTTTTTTTTATTTTTTTTCTCTTTTTTTTTGGGCTTTTTGCGGTTTTTTTTTTTGCCACCCGGTACTTTTCGCGGGGGATAAGGTCACGATAACACCCGTTCGGCAGGCCGCCAGGAGTTGGGTATTAGTTCGACATGTACAACATCGCTGTGCAGTCATTATGATCTGACGTTCGAATCAGATGTAGTGACAGGCTGTGCAATGTAGGTGTACGACAGCCGGACTACGTAGATATAAATTTTGCCCGCGATAAGCGATAAGACCAAGCGGTGAAGAAATGCGGTCCAAAGTAGCCCGTTTCATATTGGGAACCCCAGTATGGATGTCAGCCTACATTTATTTCTCACTTGGTTAATACCCCTGATTATACATGTAATCAGGCACTCGGAGATGACCTGCAGATCTTATGTCCTGGCTGACATGTCTACTCAGCTCTTCGGTCACTGTCTCCGTATCTAAGGCGATTAAGCCATCCGGAGGAGAAAGTCTGAATTTATACGGACAAATCCGGAGAATCACAAATAACGTCTAAAAATATGAACGACTTCTCGAAAATCTTAAAGTTCTTCATTGGATCCCTGATATGAGACTGCGCCACCCGATCATGAGTGGCGAACGGTGCAACGCCAGACGCCTCAACTGACAAGGCTATTTGAGTATAAGGGTCTAGGCGGGGCTGAGAGTCCATGCTAAGATGGGGGCCTTGTAGATGTGCAACTACGGAGTCGACCAGTTCAAGACAATGCTATACTTCTTACTTCTATACTTCCATAGACATCGGCCGATAATAGAAAATATAAGCCCAAATATGCCTGACACCAGGTTCAGCCAATAAAAATGGACGGATTCGGGCACAAGTTCGATCTCAGCCAATCGGGGTGCCATAACCATCGGCACTAGCCCAAATGCGGTGCTAGCGCAGGACAATGAAAAATTTTAATCTTTTTTTTTTTTTCGTAGGGTTTGCCGCCCAGAGCCACACGATAAATATCTTCCCCCCCTTCCCTTCCTCTTCCCCTCCTCCACTGCATCTTTTTTCGAGGGTTGGACCTCCTTTCTTTTATTTTTTTCATTTCTCTTCTGTTTAGAACAGGATAGAAATACCCCCCCGCTCTAATCTTTGAGCGTCGCGTCTGATCTTTGGACGCTGTTGGGCTTGTTGCTCACAAAAAAAAGAGATACCCTCATAGAAAAAAAAGGAAGGATTCTTCTTTCTTTACTCTAATACCCCCTTCCCGTTTTTCTACGAAAACCGCCAAAATTTCTTCCAAAATGCCTGCCGCAAACGTCGCCTCCTCTCCTGCCACCACTGGCAAGGAGACCGCCAAGTCGGTCGCTGTCCTCGAGGACCTTATCAAGAACCTCAACATCTCCTCCAGCGCCGATGAGGCTCTCGCTGCTGCTGGCAACCTTGCCACTCTCTTCTCCGGTCCCATCCCCGAGCAGACCCTTCCCCTGAAGGCTGCCGAGACCTTCAAGAAGCAGCTCGCCAACAAGAAGGATGCTACTGCCCGTGAGCGTGCCTGCGAGGGCATCCGGGCTATTGCCTCCCACAACACAGTCGCTCCCGGTGTTGAGCCCCACCTCATTTCCCTCCTTGGCCCCGTCCTCGCCGCTGTCGGTGACAAGATGGTCCCCGTCAAGCAGGCCGCTCAGAGCGCCGCCATCGCCATCGTCCAGGCCGTCAACCCCAACGCCGTCAAGGCCGTTGTCACTCCTCTCCTCGAGTCTCTGGCTAACGCCCAGAAGTGGCCCGAGAAGATGGCCGCTCTCGACTGCATCAACATCCTCGTCGAGACTGCCCCCGCTCAGCTCGGTTACCAGGTTCCCACTCTCATCCCCGTCATCTCCGAGGCCATGTGGGACACCAAGTCCGAGATCAAGAAGGCCGCCTACTCCACCATGGAGAAGGTTTGCGGTCTCATTGTCAACAAGGATATTGAGCGTTTCATTCCCGAGCTTATCAAGTGTATTGCTAAGCCCGAGAACGTCGCCGAGACCATTCACTTGCTCGGTGCCACCACTTTCGTCACTGACGTGACCAGCCCTACTCTCGCTATCATGGTTCCCCTGCTCGACCGTGGTCTCGTTGAGCGTGAGACCGCTATCAAGCGTAAGACCGCTGTCATCGTCGACAACATGTGTAAGCTTGTCGAGGATCCTCAGCTCGTCGCTCCTTTCCTGCCCAAGATGTTGCCGGGTCTGAACAAGAACTACGAGACTCTTGCCGACCCCGAGGCCCGTGAGAAGACTCGCCAGGCTCTTGACACCCTCGCCCGTGTTGGTGATGTCAAGGACGGCAAGATTCCCGAGGTCTCCCGCGCCAGTGACATCTCCACCGTCGCTGCCATCCTCAAGGAGGTCCTCGAGGCTTCCAAGCACAAGGACGCCATCGCCACCTCCGAGGAGATCATCAACTACATTGGTGCCGTCTCCGGTCAGCTCGTTGACGAGAAGGAGTCCGACCACGTCATCTGGACCCAGAACACCCTCCCCTACATCACCGCCATTGTCGGTGAGGAGGACGCCAAGAACGTCGCTGAGGCTCTCCGCAAGAAGGCCTGCCCCGACGCCGAGGCTGCCGATGCCATCCCCTCTGATGAGGAGGAGGGTGAGGATCTTTGCAACTGTACCTTCTCTCTGGCTTACGGTGCCAAGATTCTGCTGAACCAGACTCACCTGCGCCTCAAGCGTGGCCAGCGTTACGGTCTCCTGGGCCCCAACGGTTCCGGTAAGACCACCCTCATGCGCGCTATCAACAACGAGCAGCTCGAGGGTTTCCCCAAGAAGGATGAGGTCAAGACCGTCTACGTCGAGCACGACCTCGACTCTGCCGATACCGAGCAGACCGTCATTGCCTGGACCCAGAAGAAGCTTGCCGAGGTCGGCCAGCACCCTCCCGTTGAGGAGCTCGAGGACAAGCTCGTCAACGAGTTCGGCTTCCAGCCCTCTCAGATCGCCGGTCCCATCACCGCCCTTTCTGGTGGTTGGAAGATGAAGCTCGCTCTGTGCCGTGCCGTCTTCGAGAGCCCCGATATTCTCCTGCTCGACGAGCCCACCAACCACTTGGACGTCAAGAACGTCGCATGGCTCGAGAACTACCTCAAGACCTCCCCTTGCACTTCCATCATGGTCTCCCACGACTCTCGCTTCCTTGACCACGTCATCCAACACGTTGTCCACTACGAGCGCTTCAAGCTCCGCCGTTACCGCGGTACCCTCTCCGACTTCGTCAAGCAGCACCCCGCTGCCAAGTCCTACTATGAGCTCGGTGCCTCCGACATGGAGTTCAAGTTCCCCGAGCCCGGTTTCCTTGAGGGTGTCAAGACCAAGTCCAAGGCCATTGTCCGTGTCTCCAACATGTCCTTCCAGTACCCCGGTACCCCCAAGCCCCAGATCACCGGAATTACCTTCCAGGTCTCCCTTGGTTCCCGTATTGCTGTCATTGGTGCCAACGGTGCCGGCAAGTCTACTCTCGTTAACGTCCTGACTGGTGAACTTATCCCCACCTCCGGTGATGTCTACCAGCACGAGAACATCCGTATTGCCTACATCAAGCAGCACGCTTTCGCTCACATCGATAACCACCTGAACTCCACTCCCTCCGAGTACATTCAGTGGCGTTTCCAGACCGGTGAGGACCGTGAGACCATGGACCGCGCCAACAAGATCGTCACCGAGGAGGACGAGAAGGCCATGGACAAGATCTACAAGGTCGAGGGTACCATGCGTCGTGTCATTGGCATCCACTCCCGCAGAAAGTTCAAGAACACCTACGAGTACGAGATCTCTTGGTCTCTGGGTGACAACATCGGCATGAAGTCCGAGAAGTGGGTTCCCATGATGTCCAACGACAACACCTGGTTGCCCCGTTCCGAGATCATTGTCTCTCACCCCAAGCAGGTCGCTGAGGTTGACCAGAAGGAGGCTCTCGCCTCCGGTCAGTTCCGTCCCCTTGTCCGCAAGGAGATTGAGCAGCACTGCGCCAACTTCGGTCTCGATGCCGAGCTGGTCTCTCACTCCCGTATGCGCGGTCTCTCCGGTGGCCAGCGTGTCAAGGTCGTCCTCGCCGCTTGCTCATGGCAGCGCCCCCACGTCATCGTCCTCGACGAGCCTACCAACTACCTCGACCGTGACTCCCTCGGTGCCCTCTCCAAGGCCATCAAGTCCTTCGAGGGTGGTGTTGTCATCATTACTCACTCTCGTGAGTTCACTGAGAACCTCACTGAGGAAGTCTGGGCTGTCAACGACGGTGTCATGACTCCCTCTGGACACAACTGGGTCCAGGGTCAGGGTTCCGGCCCCCGTCTCGACGCCAAGGGTGACGATGACGAGGACAAGTTCGATGCCATGGGTAACAAGATCACTGTCCAGAAGAAGGTCAAGCTTACTGGTAAGTCACTTTGCAATATCTCACTTCTGTCAAATTTACATTTGCTAACCTATCCCTCTTTACAGGTTCCGAGCTCCGCAAGAAGAAGAAGGAGCGTGCTGCCCGCCGCAAGCGTGGTGAGGAGGTCTTCTCCGATGAGGACGACATCTAAGCCGTTCGCTTCGGTTCTGTTATTGATGGATGCATATTATGATGTGTTGATGAATTTCATATGCTTACGCTGAGAACAAAATACATTTCCTGTTCAAACATTCGTTATTATATTCCCTGGTAGTGTTCCATATCGTAGTTGCTGTCGATCTTGTAGAGTTGTGATTATGTCCTACATGCATTTTCTTTTGCTTAGCGACAACTCAAACCAGAGCATCCCTTCCCATTCATCCCGTGGCTCTTTCCTCTCACGGGTCTTGTACCTCGCACCTCAATACTAGATTGAGACGTCCTACCATTTTTATATGTTCGCCTGCCTGTATGCTTGATCACTGTCTATCCATTCCACCTACCATCCATGCATGCATATGCCCAACACTGACATGGCACCAGCTACCTAAGCTACCGTCTATATTCCATTGTTATCATTCGTACTCCCTGCTGGATCAGCATTGTCAACTCTAGACCCGGTGCATTGAGTCACAGTGTCAGACATCTCTCTTGACTGCCTGCCTTCTGACTGGTCTACACAACAGCCAAGAGTTCGAACTTCTTGACAGCAGATCCCTTCACATGTTTCGGTTTCCCGATCTATGTCGGCATCCCGGTATCCTGAGATATCCGCCGAGCTCCCGCTCGAGATCTAGGGAAATTCGGAGTCAAATACCCCCGTGATCTGTCGGGTGTTTGGGCATTTGCTGTGGGTATTTGTAAGACTGTAGAGGTAAATAGGACGGGTTCCGGTTGTGTGCGTAGTCACAACCATCTGGATCTGGATCTGTTTCTGGCTCCGCAGCTTGATTGTGTTTTCTTTATTACGAATTTCATACCATTTTCCTGATCATTGATGACCCTTATGTTGTCATTTGGACTACTGGTGGTTGCGACGGAGAGTAAATGCTAACATAACTGGGTATAAGAAGATGAAATACTGTACACAGATTGCCTGGTCAACCCTCCACAGGCCCAACCTTCACATCGACCCTTCTCTGCAGCTTATCCATATCATCCACTTGCCGCAGCTTCTTCCGCTTCTCAGTCTCCAAATCCTTGAAGCGTTTCTTGCCCCCATATTTCAGCTTCGTGATCATATCAGCTGCCTGGCCCCGGGTCAGATCTTCTTCCTTCACTGTGCGGTCCCGAATATGAGCTGCATTCAGCAACTTGATCTGACCAGGTGTTGCCGGGGCCCGTCGCCAAGGTTTCCGAGTAGAAATGTAATGCTGATCGAATTTGCTATTGGCGTAGGTATCTGCTGACCTCACAATGGTCTCCAAATCAGGCCCGGAAGCAACCTTGCGCGGGCGCGTGTATTGCATGGCTTCCTTTATTGGATCCTTGAATTTCATGACGTGGTGTGCGGTGAATAAGTCGTCGTCTTTTTCGATTGTCATCCAGCCGGATGCATCAGAAAGCATATATCTGTTGTCGCCGACTCGGACCCAAGAGTGCGGACTTAGTGACCTGATATGTCGCTCGGATTGCATGTCTCCTAGGAGATCGTAGATACTATCGTATGTTGTGAATTGGAGTTTCAAGTCGTTGTCTGAGCCGTCATATGGCTCAGCAATATCGGGGCGGGATGCTTCTTCCTTGGGCTTGTCCAGTTTCTCCTGTATATCTTCCGCACTGGAGTTGTCCAGGACCTCATCTGGATCTAAGCCGAATAGAGTCGGTGTCGATAGGACTCCGGTTGCCAGGGAGGCTACCATGTCTATTATATGGCAATCCTTTTTTCCAGGGAACAGCCGAAGCCCACGCCCAATCATTTGGATGAGCAGGTTTCGAGATCTGGTCGGTCGAGCCAAAAGCACGCAGTCGATGTTTGGGATATCTGTGCCCTCCGTGAAAAGGCCACAGTTCAACAAGACCGGAAATTCCTGCTCTTTAAAAGCCCGTAGCTCTTCTGCTCGCTTACGCTTAGGGGTGCTAGCAGTGATATACCTCGCATCAACGCCATGGTCACGGAAGGCAGCAGTGAGCTGACGTGCGTGCTCAATATCAACGCAAAAGACCAACGTAGACTTTCGTTCTGCAGCATTCGCCATCCAAGCACGAACCGTGATACTGTTTATGGTTGCGGTATTAACGGCCTCGGAAAGTGAGCCCAGAGCAAAGTCCCCGAAGTTATCTTTCTTGACTTTGGACAAATTGGCCCCAGACTTGACAGTCGTAAAGACGGCATTTGCCAACCAATTCTCGCGCATCATATCCACATAGTCCTTGTGGTAGACAATATGATCAATGGCCGCACCAAGCTTGAGACCATCAAACCGTGAAAAAGTGGCCGAGACCCCCACCAATATCGGTCCATTTGCAGATTGTTCGTTCAATCCAAAATGTTCCAGAGCGTCGCGGTATGACCTTGCAACGATATGATGCGCCTCATCCACTAATACGAGTTTAAATGCGCTAGGATCGAACTTGTAAACGCGCCCGCGCGCTAATGTCTGTACTGACGCGATGATAATGTCCCCTGCGCCTGTCGCAGTATCCTTGCCCATTTCGATTTCCACCAGCTTGTCTGGATATGCGAGACGACAGTGCCTTGCAGCTTGATCAACTAGTTCCCTTCGATGTACAATAATCATGGTTTTGGTGGCTTTCGCATCTCGCGGAGGGATTCGGTTGATGAGCTGTGTGAAGATCACCTGCGGGGGGTCAGTGCTATACTTGATAGGAGAAGAAGGCTTCCCTTACTGTCTTTCCAGCTCCTGTTGCAAGTGAGATTCCTAGGCGCCGATGGCCTTCGCCCAAGTACTTCAAAACGGATTGAATGGCCTCTTCTTGGTAGTCGCGAAGCACAATGCCCGATGGGAGGGAGGGCTTGGTCGAATTAAACCGTACATGATGCGACAAACTCAGCACCAGAGGCCTTCTTGCCAAATGTTTCCCCGGAAGTCTCAATCGCGAGACACAGCGTAAGAACTCCATGCAGATGTTGAAGTTGCTCGTCGCGAAGCTTAAGGATAATCAGAGCAAACAGTGCAAATATCTTATCGATAGTGGATCTCAGCTCTCCAACTTTTTTTGACCTTTCGACAGTCGACAACTTTTGCTCATCTCTGATTTGGAGGCAGCTGTGATGTTCTGCTTCCAATTATACCGCATGTGCTGCGAATCTGCGAGCCCGAACGATGAGCGACACTTCCTATGAACCCGACGACGCCGAGTCCGAGTCCGACTTTGAACCGCGCGCATCCAACAGACGCTCTCCAACCCCCAAACAGACTATAAATGAAATAATACAACACGAAAATAATGAGCCAAACTCCGACAATGTTACCGACGAGGTTGAACGGGGACTCGGCGAAATGCTTGGGTCGCGTGCCCCGCTAATACGCGCATCGCTCACCTTACTCGGACCCTACAACAAGCTTCTCACGGAAATAGAGAACGATTATGACTATGCTTCGACCAGGGAGGATGAGGAGGTATACGAAGTCAGTCAGCATGGATCCGTGATCTGGACATCTACGGAAAAAGAGGTGTTCTTCAATGGCCTCGACCGGAAAGGCAAAGGCGGTATCAAAGAGCTTGCTGCTGCGATTGGTACCAAATCTGAGTTGGAAGTTATGGAATATATCAGGCTTTTGCATCAGAAAATGGAGGCCCATAATTTGTCCGATCGACATGCCAGAGCAGCCATCATGGGTGATTTTCCCTCTGCTGCGCAGATCAGCCAGGAATCTACTGGGCTGCTTGATGAATATGCGGATGTCATGGTACTCAAGGAGACACTTACTGAAACTGCAGCTGGAAAGTCGCAGCACGGGGACAACTGGGTTATCACTGAATCCCATGCTCGGGATCTCGTTGAGGACGAAGACAGCACAGCTCGGGGTGACCTACGCCTAGCAGCCGATTTGCTCGACCTTCCAGATTGGATTCGGATGTCTCGGAATTTGCTCATGAATTACGGTGGCTCACGGATAGAGGATAATTGGTGGAACCTTTCTACATCGCCGACAAATGTCACCGCCCGTCACCAAATGCCGTCCATGACTGCAGGTAGTGTCATTGACTTCTACGCTCTTACTGTCAGCATCACACGTCGTCTGGTCCAGTCATCCCTCTTCTTTGCCATGTCTCGATTGCGCACGATGAGTCGTCGTGGCCGTGATAGAGCCAACGCTGTCCGAACGCAAGATGTGCGCGCTGCCATAGAGGTGCTCAGCATGAAGCACAAATCACCCAGCTTCGTGGAAATCGCTCGTAAGAATCAATTGGTTATAGCAGACAGCCGACATCGCAGAGGCTGGGTGCCTAAAACTTTCAGCTACGAGGAGGCGGAGAGGATCTTGACAGAAGACAAAGATTATTTCCAGCCCTGGAGGGATGAAAAGGCACCGGAGAATGGCGAGAATGGCGAAGATGGAGATGGCGAGGAGAGAAATAGCGAAGATGACAGTGGTGAAGACGACTACGAGGATGATGACATGGAAGAGGACTATCAAGAGGATATTGATCCAGACCCCTTGCCCACTCAAAAATCTCAAGAACTCCCTCGCCCTTCATCACCAACATCAAACCCAGACGAACTAGCCATGGACCCAGAAGAAGAGCACGCAGAGATGGTAGACGCGAGTCACGATCGTCGCGAAGAGGCTCATATTCTGAGACTCATCGAGCAACCCATTCCATCCCATCTCGTCGAACCTATCAAGGCAGAAGACGCGGAGGATGAAGCATCCAGGCAATTTCCAGAACGCCGGGACAGAGAAGAGATCGTCGACTGGCGGGCCCGGACTCTCTACCGCAGTGATTGGGAGGAATATGGATATGACTTCCCCGACCTGGAGGCGGAAGTGGAAATGCATCCGCGGAAAAGGGCCAGGTTCAATGAACCCTCGTCTCCCCCCGAAGGGTCGATCATTATCGACGAGAGTTCTTCGGCTGTCGATGATGATGGGGAGGAGTCTGCAAGCGAGCAGACCGGGCCAGCTGGTGGAGAGAGCTGGCTTGACTACTATCGTACGCAGTATGGGCAACCTCTTGATCGGAAGTTTGATCAGAAACCGGCAGAATGACATGTACTATACCTCAACGACTATACCCTCTAGCGCTACTCTCATCAAGGTATTCCATCAAAGACATATGATTAGAGAAAAGTAAACACATTGATGTAAAAAAAAAGAAAAAATATTCCCAACCCCCTAGTTCTACCCCTTGAGAACAATCCACTTTCTGGAGAGAGGGTGAATCAAGAAAAAAGAACTCCAACAGGTAACAGAACAAAATCAAAGTGCGCCTTTTCCTAGCCAGAAAGTTCAGAATATTCATAACTCAACGAGACGAAAAGCAGCTCCCTCTGTATAGATCCATGGGATGATATCGTACATTTATTGGGCAAAAGCTACAGATCAAGCGTCTTGTAGTCGGCACCAGCCTGAGCGCTCAGAGGCTGGGCTCCAACCCGCATGTCTCCACCCACAGGTTGGAAGCTGTAGTGATGCCCAAGGCCAGTGGTAGCGGCATCGGCCAACATGGAGTTAGTGTGTTCATTGGGGCCCTGCAGGCTGACGGTCTGGAGAGCATCCTGGGCCTCCTTGACGCGCTTTTTGAAAGTCATCCGGTCCAGGAAGAGCTGCTGGCGAGCTTGTTCAAGCTCCCGGCGCTCAGCTTCGATAATCTCTTCCATCTCGTTGAACTGCTGGAGCTTGACCTCAAACTTCTGCAGGGTCACGTTGACGGCAGCAGAGACTAGGCGAGTCATCTCGCGCTCCTCATGGGAGGCAAGAGCTCCGGCGCGGGCGGCAGACGCGGCCAGAGCGATGGTGCCGAGTGACTCCTTGGGCTTCTCAGAAACTTGCTGCTCAGCCTCGGGATCCACGTCCATGGAATCCTCTGCCTTGACTGAACCCTTTCCTTTGTCGGATCCCTTCTCCAGTTGGGCACGCAGCTCCTTGCGAATTTCGTCGACGGAACGGCCAGCCGCGGCGGCAGCCACTGAGGGCTCTGCCATCTGGGCCAGGAAGGCCACCACAGAAAGCACCGGGTTCTCGGACTGGCTGATGGGGTCACGCCCGCTTCCAGAGCGCAAATCGGGGGTGTCTTCAATGTATTTGTCCTCAATCTCCAATCGCAAGAACTTCATAACACACTCTTCCCGAGTCCGGGTACCAACGTGGCTCGCAATTTGTTCCCAGTTCTCGTCAAAGTTCTCCAGGCCCTCCAACAACAAGACCAGTTCCGAGTCTGACCATGGGGCGTCCTTGTCAGGAACGTGAGAGTGGGACTTGTCCTCAAGCTTGACGAAGTCCGAAGCGTTATGGCTGGAAGGCATTCTTCCTTGCAGGAAGCAGTTGGGACACAAGTCATACTTGGTATCTGGCACACTGGCATTGGCTGACGTCGCAGTCGACTTGGCGTAGTGGAACCGAAGTTTCGTGCAATCAATACCGCAAGAGAAGCAGTGTGATCTCTTCTTGGGTTCCTGGGCGACATCCACACCGTTGGATTCGCCATTTGTCTGCTTCTCCTTATCGCTAGTGTCTTTGACCTTTTCATCGTAGATGCCGCGGCGGAGTTCGAGGTTGAGATCGTCCTTGAGTGCAGGAGTAGAGGAGGCAGCACGCTGAGTGGCGGGGAGGGCTTTGCCAGATGTCACGCTGTGGTTAGGTCCAGGTTGGAATGGCTGCAAGCCGCGGGGGGTATCGGCAACGACTCGGAAGTGGCCGGTGAAAGGTGGGCCAATGTTTGAAGGCCGTGTCTGAGGGTCAACCTGCGGAAGTTAGCACGGGGGCTTCGAAGAGGAGCGCAAGGTTACTCACCTGGTAGTTGATCAGACCCCACTGCTCAAGGAATGAGTGAACACGCATAATAGCGCACACATCACCCGCGAGGTTACGACGGCAGGCAGTAACGGTCAAATACTCGATGGGGTTGAGTCGGTAGGTGTTGATCATGAAGTCACGGTAATCTTTATAGGTAGCAGGCGTCTTGCTGCGGTTGCGACCGTTGAAGAACTCGGCAAGAGCTTTCTTTTCAATGTGATTAATAGTGTTCATGTCGAACCATGTGGCGTAGCTGGGAAGAATAATGGCGTGTGTTTGAGTGACGAGCTGTTCGCGCGCTGCGGCTTCCAGAGACGATTTGGTGGGTGCAGGTTGCTCTTCTCCCACGGCATCTTCAAGCCCCTCGGTTCCTTCAACTGGCGGGTGCGATTCGCCCACTGCATCCTCCAATCCTTCGGTGTCAAGCTTGGCATCGGTCTCGGTGCCACCCATCTCGGCGTCTTGGGGTTCAGATCCGCCGTTCTGGGGTTTAGGGGATGCGGGGGCGTCTAGCGGGTCGTCAGATCCAGCAGTGTCTTCAACCTTCTTCACAGGCGAATCCTGGCGCGATTGCGCTTTATTCAATTGCATGAGCATGCGATGTAACGTTGGGGCATTTAAGGGACATACCTGAAGCATGGCTGGGGGCGCGGTTGGCATCCGCTGCGGCATCCATGCCAGTCATGGACTGAGCATTATCTGGCGCCCCGGTTGGGTTGTTGTAAGTGTCGTCCATGATTGATCAAAAGCAGGTTGTCGCGGTCGGCAGGTCAACTCCTTGCCCGTCTGTCAATCGTCCTTGCAAAGCGCAACTGGGTTGCGAGTTTCAAGAGTAAAAGGCCAACAATGGCTTGAAATAGGGCCAGTGTAGATGGAAAACGATGCCGAAAGTGATGATTGGGTATGGGGACAGCTGGGGGAAGTTGATGTCGCGACACGCAAAACTCGCGGTGAGCGCCAAGAGCTGTATCGCCACTAGCCTCTTTGGGCTTGGTGTATATGTGATTGGTCACGTGGACTCTTGTTCAGAAGTATATGTTGTCTCCAAGTTCTCATTGGTCTAGATTTAGGAACAGTTACCGAGGGCTAATGCGGATACCTTGTGGGTAGAAGGAAATGCAATTAGTGGTATTGAGGTAGAGATCTAAAACACGTTCATACAAGGCCATCACTCCATGAGCTTGGTCTCAGTGCCATGCCAAAACCGATGTTTAAATAGCCTGAGATCAGACTGCTATATCTTGGTTATATCTTGGTTAGGATTATTTCTCCTACTCGCAATTAAAGTCAAGACATATTAAGCGTCACGACTATGTTCAAATTGCGCGAGTCAGTGAAAGTCACATTTCAACGATTACCAGTGTATATAGTCGCTAGTTAACTTGTGACATCCCAAGGGGTTTTCATCAAGACATTTAGATATTTTAACTATATATTGTTGCCCCGGATCTAAGATCCGAAATTTTAATGATAATAGCAGCAAAGCTATTCGTTTAGTGCTTCGCAACAGCCTCAGCCCGGTCCTGAATAGCCTTGGCAATAGCAGGACGCTCCTGCACACGCTTCAACCAAGCAGCGGTATTGGGGAACTCCTCCTCCACATTAATCTCAAACATGGCAGCAACAGCATACCACGGCACAAAGGCAGCATCAACAAAGCTGTACTTATCTCCAACGAGATATTCCTTGCCCTGGAGCGCGCGGTCAAGCACACCGGTAACACGGCGGATTTCCTTGACATAGCGGTCAACTGCACTCTGAATCTTCTCCGGGTGGTACCGAGTGAACCAAACGGCCTGGCCGAAGTATGGGCCTTGACCGGAAACCTGGAAGTGCAGCCATTGCTTGGCCTGGAAGTAGTCTTTTGAACCAGGGGCAAAGCTGATGGTGTTTTGCTTGTCGTAGGTCTCAACTAGGTATTCGAGGATGGCACCGGATTCCCAGAGGGTGGTGTCGGTGTTGGGGTCTTCAATTGCGGGGACTCGGCCGTTGGGGTTGATTGATTCGAATGGTTCTTTCTTCATGTCTGGGAAATCGACGATCTTGTGGGTGTAGGGGATGTTCAACTCCTCGAGGATCATGATCACCTTCCAGGGATTGGGACCCCCGGCGTGGCCGTAGACAGTGATGGGCTTGAGAGACATTGTGATTATGCAGATTTATGCGGGTTAGAATGAGGTACTAAGGAGGAATTGGACGCTCTTTAAATCATTTCAAGGCCTCCAGGACTGTCCCCCACCATGATCTAATCGCGCTCGGTCATGGATGACAAATGACTGACCACTTCGGGGACCTCGGAGACTTCAGGTGCGGAATTGTACCGTGAATGGATATCCCAATGCTTGGTAATTTAATATTCCAAGGACTTCCTTGCGTATTCCAGCGATTTTGAAATGCAAAAATATGTTCAGAGATCTGAAACTTGAATACTCAGTGTCAAGAATGTCCGGGACGGGCCACCGGAGTTGATGATGTCAAAGCTCTTAAAGATCGATAACATTGGAGACGGTTGATCGTAGTTGCGTGTACAATGACCAGTGTTACTTATGTCAGAGCCAAGTCTGGTCAATTGAACTGGGACATGACTTAGAGTATTTCAGCATTGGCTTTGGTAAGCTCCGGTAACGTTGCTTGACCACTTAAACTCTTTGAGCTGCAAGACTGGCGGTGTGAAGATCGCAAGGGTGAATGATTCTTCATTTTGCAAGTATATGTGACGCATCGCCGGGAAAACACCCAAAAACGAGCCTGCTGCACCATGTTCGTGAAAGTGGGCATGCCGTGGATAAGAACACGTCCCAGGACCACATAGCGCTAGATAGAGTAGAAGATTGCGCAATGGTGGATTTATTGTAGATTAATGAATATCATTCAGCTCCACGGGACTCATTTGGAGAGTATACAAATGGCGACAATCAACAGATGCAGTGAGAAAAAGGTTGTGCTAACTAGCACCCTGGTCGACCGGACTAAAATCCATGCAGAGTACTCCGATGGGTGTCTGGGCACATGTTTAGCTTGTAGCGCCCTAAAAAGCTAGGTGTAAGCTGGCCTGACACATTGCATGTACATACGTAATTAGCAGCCTAAATACATGTACAAGCCTGGATTGATTGGATATAATTAGATCACATCCTCCGGATTGAATGTCGGAGTAAAAAATCCACTTTTCGGAATAGATCTCGGAGTAAGATCGGACTACTGGCCAGAACCTGTACAGTTATATCTCCAGACTCTTACCACTTCTTTCCAGAATTGTACTTCTCCCTGAAAACTCTCCAATAGAATTATACCTCGGATCATCCGACTCGGATCAGTTGATCCTTGATGTGAATGCCTGGAGGCTATTCCGAAAATAACCCCGCGCTTTGAGTCATTTCAAGCCACTCTTCGTAAACGACCGCCTAGAATCTAAGCTTAGACGGTTGGAAATCAAAAGTCATAGGTCATAACACGTACTGCATCGGGTCCTTATGATCATCTTTAGAAACATCTAGCCCTCGCATTCCAAGGTTCTTACAAATAACGAATGCAAGCCATTTTTACTCCCGAGTTAAAGGTCACTATGACAGCAATTTCGAGACCCCAATCCGACGAGGGTCCTACTTCTAATAGAAAGACCGAGAGGGTCGGTCGTGGGTCCAGATCCCAACACACAATCTTCAGAGATCAAAGTACTCCGTACAGGCTTTCGACCGATGTAGTTATGTCTAGGTGGATATAGCAGTCAGGCTTAGGTCGAAAACGTGGCTCAGAGAAGAACTAGACCCACACAAGCGCTAATCTACCGCGCCCTTTCGCATTATACTTCTCAACTTGGAAGGATTAACGAGTCATAAACGGCCATACACGAAGCCTTGTACGAGAATTGCCCAATTAGGACGCCGTGCTGGTCGGGGTCGTCATTTAGGCAAGACGATAGACACGGGCTATTGGTCCCAACATGGTCAATGTCGGAGGAATTATAAGCAACTTGATTTATCAGAGGCTCTTGCTTTGTCATGGACGCCCTTCGAAGGCCTCTTCGTTGCAGCTTATTCGACAAACTCTGAACTCCGAACTTTACTCCGATCCCTGCGCCCCACATACATGAGGCTGTGACGTCGATTCTAGAGCTGTTACATGCCATGTAGCGTCTTTTCGACTGAAGTCTGCCCGTGGGTCTGAGTCTAATGTATCAGCCTTTTTTATTTTTTTCTCTTAGCGTCATAGTATGTCCGAGTCACGGAGTAAATGATGTTAGGAATGATCAGCAGGATCTCCATATAAAGCCCTAGATCATCCCCGTAGAAAAGAGGATCATATTCCAGTACACTTCAAGATCATCAGCTAGATCCAACAGAGCTACTTCTCGTTTCGGCCAGTTTCCCTCTCTAGCCAACCTTCTATACTATACCTCGTTTACATCAACCCATCAACCACCACACGACCATCCCAACCGTCGCAACCCAACAAACTCCATCCAATTCCTCCAAATACAACGCCGCACCGCGTTAACTCCAATCAAAATGCCTTTCACTTCCTCCAAGTCATCTACAAAGACCATGTCTAGCGCCGCATCTACAACCTCCACAATCTCAACAGCATCGACCCTCAAGGGAGCCGATGCCGCGTCAAAGAAGAAGTGGTTCTCCCTGCTGCCCTCGAAAACCACAACCGAATACAAGCCCAAGTCCGACGCCTATCAGGCCCAGGAGGCTCTTCACCATGAGGCTGTTGCAACCTATCTGGCCTTGCGTTAAGCTTGGGTCTGACGCATGTGGGAATGGCTGCATCCTTCAAATCCTGATCCATTCATGGAAATGATTTGTGGGAGGGATTCCTTTCTACAATTCTTCAACTCTTTGGCTTTGAGATTCATTTTTTGTTTTGGATTTATTTTGCTGGCGCGTTTGTTGTCTTGGTGGACGCGTTTTCGCCTTGCAACCTCGACGATGAAATGATTGCATTAGATACCATACCACTTACGCGCTTAATATCTGCATTTCTGTGGCTTTCTCTCGGTGTTCTTCTTTATGATGACTTTCTATACAGTTTGTCCAGTTTGTTTGTTTTATTTTTGTCTACTTTCCTGTTTTCTTGTGATCATCTCTGTGAACTTCAACGGTCGAATTAAAAGGATATCTAAGTTCGTCACTTATTCAACTTCATTGTTCTTCTTATATGAATAAAAGGCCTTCATCTCAACTACCTATCCGAGTAGAGGCCATGCATTGCCTCATATAAAACTGCAGTAATCATAAAACAGATGCATCTGCATCAAATGCCAAATCCCAATTCCAAAACACCGTGACAAACGCTGAAAACCATGTGCTTATACGAAACTCTGCTTATATTACAACCCAGTCAACAACTCCCCCATCGATATCGGTTTGCGGACAGCATTCGAGAATCCTTCGTGGAAGGTAACCCAGACCTTCCGACCAGCCTTCGAAGACTCATCCGCCCAGCTATCGGCACCCTCAGAGTCCGTAGCCAGAGACACGGGCGCCTCAACAACTCGACCGAAGAAATCACGCTTAACAGCTGCATCTCTGATTGCTTTGGCTGCGGCACTATCGTCCGATTTCCTGGGTCCCTTCACGTCCAGTTTGGACGCATCGGGTTTCTTGCGTGTCGTTGCTTTGCGGTATTCCTGGTCCAAGACTTGGCGTAGGGCATATCGGACCGGCGCTGTGCCACCTGATGATTCAATGGTACTGCCTTTTGTCTTTGAGAAGTATACAAGGGAGTCGATGGGTCTGTGAAGTGAGTCAGCATCGTCTATGTTGGAGTATTATTGGATAATTCCAGGGGTTTCACTCACGGTTCCATTCTGTACGCCCATCCACCATGGTTTCCATCTTGTTCAACTCGGACTTTTTCAAATGTCACTCCCATTCCGCTCATGACACCCACCGCAGATTGGACGAGTGCCCGTTCTGACTCTTTACGAACGCTAGCGGAACTCCTCTGGTCCCCGTTTCCGCGGATGATAACTGGCTTCACGTCTGGTGAGAGCATCCGGGTCAAATGAGGTACTAGATCTGTGATGACGCTTTCAGATGATCGGAATATGCGGGCCAGTGGTGCTGAGAAGGAGTTATGGAAGGCTGTCAAGGTGGCACGGTTCGCCTTCTGTGCTTCAAAGGCAGCAAAGTCGGCTCTAGGTCCTGAGAAAGGGTGTGCCTCTTCAACTTCCTCCTCGTCATCATTCTTTTCAATCTCAGTTCTGCCCGCAGCCGTGGCGAATAGATGATGGAAAGCGACGACCGATTGGCTGAGATATGGAATCAATTCCCATTCTTGAGACCTGTAGACCTTTGAAGACATCGTGTCGTGGAAATGAAGCCAGTCGTGGGCTGTGTTGGGCTTGGAGAAGTAATTGTCATCCTGGTATTGCTGGATGGGATACGAGGTGAAACAATCCGACACACAGCGGTCTTGGTCACCGCTGGAATCTACCATCTCCCGTAGTCGGTTGATGGCGTGTCGCTTGCGCAGATCTGCCACGCCAACGGGGACACGGCTGTTAGGGCCGTCGAAACGATCTTGGAAACTCATGCCGACAGGTGCATCTGAGAATCCGGCACCCTCCGTAAAGACACGGTTCACGATCTCGCGAACACCGCCGCGACTTAGCTCTTTGAAGAAAGAGCTGCCTTCAGCTGATGCATTGAGGACTCGCTGCTCAAGCCAATTTCGGCTGAGTCTGAGTGATGAGGGCAAAGATTCGTTTCGGAGTTTATGTGCCACAAATTCTGCGGCAACAAGGACACTACGGATATCTCCCTCGGCAGATCCGGTAGTCCTGCCGCTGCGCTGTTTTCTGCTGGCCAGACCCCAGGCTGCTTCGCAAAGCCTTCGGGCACCATCGTTATCGCAAGCGATTCCTTCATGGATGAAAATCGTCTTAATTCGCTGAACAACGTTCTCCAGGGGCGCTTGGCGAACACTAATCATCTCCGCGATGGATGATGCCCGTAGAGGCCGAAGACTGCTGTGATAAAGATCATTGCAAACCAAGATCAACGGCCGCATAAATCTAAAGTTATCGCCTTTGCGTTTCTTATTGCCGTTGTTTTCTGCAGACCACTTCGAGTTTCGTTGGTCAAGCAAGACGAGGTCAATTAGGGCCTTCATAAAGCCACCTTCTCCGCCGCTTCCAGAGCCACCAACGACACCATCGACTTCATCAACAACAACACAGACGGGCTTGCCGGCGCGGCGGACCTTCTTCTCGCCGACCTCAACATTCATACCCTTGACATTCTCTGTTCCCAGCGCATCGCGAATGCGGCCTTTGACTACGTCCCTGCTGCGGTCGTCACTGGCGTTGATTTCAAGGACTTCGTAACCAGCCTGTCTGGCACATACATGCGCCAGTGTGGTCTTCCCGAGACCGGGAGGACCACTCAACAGAAGAACTTTTCGATGCGCAAATTCATCTTCATCCTTCTGGGCGGCCCTTTTCGCTTTAGATTTGGCCAGGCCTGGGAATACGATTGGCTCCCACCCCTTCAACCAGCGGAGCACTCCTCGATGGGTACGCTCATCTCCAATGAGATCCGTAAACTTGCGAGCCCGGTATTTCTCGGTCCACATTGCAGAGTCAATCTTTTTCTGTTTGGAAGTCACGTTGTTCGTTTCAATGCTCTCCTGGACTTGAGGTTTAGGTGCTGTCTTCAATGCCTCCGTCTCCTTGGCCGCATCATCTAGCAATTGGTGTATGTCGATGCCGTAATAACTCTTCTTGGACTTTCCAGGTTCTGTCTCGGACCGACTAGCAATCATTTGTTCGTAAGATACAGGAGCCCGGGCCTTTTTGGTAGAAATGCTATGTGTCTTGCCGGCACATGTCTTGATCTGGAACCTTTTGGGGGCTGTCGGCGCAGGTCGTGGTGTTAATACGGGGAGTTGGTGAGAAGCCTTTGGCGTGCAGTCGATATTCGTATTTGCTATCGTGGGCCTCTGCACTGGCGGTATGCCAGGCAAGGTTGATGCGGGTTCCTGGAAGAAATGGTCCGGCAAGTCGTGTTGGCTATTCATGTGCTCATCGCGTAATGCGGCAACGTCGTCTTCTTCATCATCGTCGTCATCGACGAAACCTCCAACCATGCGCTGTCGCTTTGGCTCTTTCGATTTCGGGCCTTCATCCACTTCTGCGGCTTTTCTCTTCTGCGCATCGTTGGCGGCGTTGTTAGATGCGATCGCGCCGGGTGATGAGATGAACGGCATCTTTGAAACAGGGGGTGAGGAAGGGAGAAATGATAATTTCCGAATGGGAGTACGGCCAATTTCTCTGGGTGTTGTAGCGGTATTCTTTGTGGGCGTATCTGATAGATTCCGGTCAGTACACAACTTGGGAAATTGATGTTGAAGTAACGAACCAGGCCTTATATCGTCCTCGCTGCGAAACACATCCGATAAATCCCAAGCTCGGTGCTGAATCACAACCCGATTTCGTGTTTGTTCGAGGTGGTGCTGGTGAATTGCCTCAAGATCGTCGGAGAATGATTCAGATGGAGGGTTGGCGGTGTCAGTGTTGCCAGGACCTTCGGAGTGGAGGTGAAGGGCGGGATCGAATGAGGATAAAAATGATGGCGACGAGGGAAGCATTCAAGCGTTCGGACTTGTCATGTCCGTGAATTGAAGGTCCGATGTAATTCCCCTCTGATAAAGACGCGACGCGTGCTGGAGAGACGCGCTAGTCCCGATTTGGAAGCATAGTACTTTACATTTCGGTCTCTGGGCTATGCACTTGTCTTGAGAATGAGACTTAAACATGTAGAACATTTATGGATTGAGCCATAACCTGTGATAGCGAGAGCTACCCTATACAAAATGAGACTACTCGGCGACATCGGCAATATCAAAAGACACCAAAAAAGAATCGAAGAAAATGTTGGATTTATTAAGCCAAAAATGGCTCTAACCCTCTAGTCAATGGTATACTGTACGGTTGATTTAACAGACAAAAAAAAAGCACCAACCTGCTCGATAGGGCATGATACAAGAAAAACAAACAATCGCAGCCAGCTTATGCGCTCTTCACCTTCTCAGTGAACTCAGGAACCTTCTCAAAGAGATCACCAACGAGGCCAACATCAGCAACCTGGAAGATAGGAGCCTCAGGATCCTTGTTAATAGCAGCAATGACCTTGCTATCCTTCATACCAGCCAAGTGCTGAATAGCACCAGAGATACCAGCACAGAGGTAAAGCTGAGGCGCAACATTCTTACCAGTCTGACCAACCTGCAGACTGTTATCGGCAAAGCCACTGTCAACGGCAGCACGCGAAGCACCAATAGCAGCGCCAAGCGAGTCCGCCAGCGGAAGCATGATGCGGTCGAACTCCTCCTTGGACTTCAATCCACGGCCTCCCGACACGACACGGGTGGCAGTGGCGAGGTCGGGACGCTCAGACTTGGCCAGTTCCTCAGACACCCACTCGGTCGAGGCGGGGGCGTTGGGGTCCGCTCCGTCGGCAATCTCGGCGGAGCCGCCCTCGGTCTCGACGCCTTGGAAGGCGGTGCCTCGCACCGTGATCACCTTGATGTTGTCAGTAGACTGGACGGTCAGGATAGCATTGCCGGCGTAGATGGGGCGGACGAAGGCTGTGTCGGCGTTAGTGGCTGGCGGTTTCACATGTCAGGATTCTTCGTCGGGGTACACGTACTGTCCTCGCTCTCGATGCCGGTGATATCTGAGATCTGCTGCACATCCAGGAGAGCGGCCACGCGGGGTAGCAGGCTCTTGCCGAAGGCGGAGTGGCCGGCGACAATGTGGGTGAATTCGCCCTTCTTGATATTCTCAACGAGGAGAGGCGCATAGTTTTCGGGGAGGCCCTGCAGGTCGAAGAAGTGGGACATTAGCTGTCGCTTCCTGAAATACAACAGTCGCTGTATATAGAATCGGCTGTACCTTCTCGTAGGCGTCGTTCTCAACAGCCAGGACCTTCTCAATGCCCTTGATCTTAGCAGCCTCGGCAGCAGAGGTAGCTTTAACACCAGAGCCAGCGAGGAAGGCCGTTACTGAGCCACCGAGCTTCTGTGCAGCCGCGATTGCGGACAAGGATGAGGACTGCAGCTTGCCATCACGCTGCTCGAGGACTGCGAGGGTCGAGAGAAGGCGGGCGAGCGCCGACTGGCTCAGTGTGCGGGTGGGATAGAGCTGGGTGCGGGCAGCCCGCAGGACAGAGTGCCTGGCAATTGGGATCATGTTGAAACTTGGTGAAGAAATCGTCGTTATTCTTTCAATGTGGAAAAGTCAAGATTGAAGCTCGGCGATTCACGGTGATGTGATGGTGGCTATCGTCGGGATGCCAAGACCGCCTCCCGAGGTCGGACTCGGTTAATGCGGTGATCATATAGGCTGATCAAGAACGATAATGGAAGGAATTGATCTACTTGATTATGTCTAGTTGAAGTTGAGAGTTTAATTTTGGCTGAATCATTTGATCTCAATTGCTAGCGTAATATATAACTGTAGAAACAATAGACACACGTGATATTTTGTACGCCAGAAATACCTTTACATGCAGAAAACATTAGAGCTAAAACCATTATGAAGTCGACTTTCTCTTCTTCTTGCCCGCAGTCTTCGGGGCGGCGGCCTTGCTTGTGTCGCCATCCTCGAGAGCCTGAGCCTTGAGCTTCTGGAGCTTCTCCTTCCGTGCGGCCACTGATGCGGCCTCCTCTACATCGTCTGCGGATTTGGTCTTCTTGGTCTTGTTCTCCTCAAGCAGCTTTCCGTCGCCAGTAGACTTGCGCTTCTTGGAGTCCTTGATAGCTTCGGTCTCAGGGGCGGCCTCCAACACGTTGGAATCCTCAACCCACAATTCACTAGCGAGCCAGATGGGCAAGGCCATGGTGTTGGCTCCCTTGATGTGCAGAGCCTTGATGTTCCTCCAGCCCTTAACGACGAACTTCTCAGTCAGACCGTTAACAACAGCTGCGATGTTGTCGGACAGCTGCTCGGGGGTGAACTTGGATGAACCGACACGGACGGAAGCGGTGGTGGAAGCAGCAAGCTGGACGGGAGCGCAGTTCAGGGCGCGCTCGATCTCCTTGGCGACAATCAGGGGAGCGGCGAAGGAGGCCTTCTTGTCCTCCTCCTTGGCGTTGTTGTTCTTCTTGGGATCCTTCTTGACCCGCTTGCCATCGACCTTCTCGATCTCGGCGATACGGATGGGAATAGGACGCTTGCTGGACTTGTAGAATATCTTGCCAAGGGTCTGAACAAGGCGCATGGCGATGCGGTCATCAGCCAGGAAGACATCGTGCTCGGAGAACAATTGGCGACGGCTCTCGAAGCTCTGGTAGCGGGCCTTAAGTTTTGAGAAACCAATGACCTTTTCGATGCGGCCGGAAAGGGTCTGGGGGAAAGAGGAGTCGGCGATGATGTCCTTAACACCGCGCTGGGGGTCGGCAGTGATCACACAGATGCTGAGCGAGGGAGATGTGTTGAGAGAGTGAGGAAGAGCGATTTTGCCGGGCTTCAGGCGGTTCTTGTCCACCACGTGCTGCTTGGTGGTGAGGACGAGCCAGATAGCCTCGTTCTTGATGGCGCTATCCTCGTCATCGGAGTCATCACCAATCAGAGTCTTCTTAGTTGCAGACTTCTCCTTCTCGTCCTGGGAGGACTTGATGTGCTTCAACAGCGCCGACGAAGCTTTGAGGGCCTAATTCGAGTCCGATAAGTACTTCGCGCAATTGCGTCTCGGGGGTTCATTGGTACTAACCTGGGGCTTGTCGAGCTGGTAAGGTGAGCCAGAGGCTACCTTCGAGGTAAGTTGAGTAGTAGAGGAGCCCATTTTAGCAAGTTGTAGACTCGTTGAACTTCTCCAATTTTTTTGCGATGATATCGGGACTCAAAAAAAAATCGGAAGGCGGTGGCAGTTTGTCCGGCTTGGCAGTCCAGACCCCAGTGAGTGCCTTGTTGCCTGAGGCGTCAACGGGTATAGCAATCGAGCTTGAAATCTTCATAGTTTGCGAGTCTTGCATTTCTTCAATGTCCTAGGTCAGGCTGTGGGAGACTTCAGAGATGATCTATTGACCAAAGAAATTGGCAATGGTGAGGCTTCTTGGATTTCTTGGGCCATATCGTACCTATCAGTTATTGATAACGCTGAACAATGTGGACTCCATGACTTCTCGGATATGTCAGCAGGCAAACGACCTCGCAAGAGCCTGTTGTAATAATTAAGCTATACTGATAATTAATATGGGAAGGTGCATATACTACTCTTGCCGGCCTATTTGGCTGACATGTCTCTCGCAAGCCCGATCGCAACGTAGCGAAGGCGACATCCAATCCCCAAAACTGCGATTCATTATTCATCTACGACCAATTCTGCAGGGCCGGCCCCCTCTCAGGTCAATTGAGATCCCAACCGTGCGAGGGTCCCCTCTGTGTAACCAATCAAACAAACAGATTCATATCGACACCGATGGAGACCCCGACGGTTTGCGTTGCAACGCAAGTCATAAGAGAATACGATTTTGGACGCAAGGTCCATCCCAAGCAGCTGGTCACCGAAATGACTAGAGCTGATCAAGATGTCTCACGACCTGCATCTCAACAAGGTGTGTTTTCAAGATGTAATGCGGCTGGAATAAGCTCTGCTGTCACCACAATGCTAGTATGTTTCAGGTTGTCTAAAAATGTTCCGGGGAAGTCCCCTCGCTTCTGGCTAAACAAGAATATGAAAATTGATCGTCTCTCCATAAGAGTGCCAAGTCCGCGGCTAGCTTGGCTGACTATTTATAGACGTCCGCCGACAGTTAAGAAGATCATGCGAAGATCAGACCCCAAAGTGACAAGCTTGGATGATATGCCATTGATAAAAAAAATGATATGAGCTAACGAGCTAATTTGGTGGCTGGTTTGGCGGTGTCGAGGCGGCTGGGAAAGGAGATTCATGGCCGATGCTGCAAGGTACGAAATACGCCAAGGACAGCAGGTAATATACCATAATCTTAAAAATACGCAGGGTTTACAACATAAGCCAGATCTTGTAGACTTTAGCAGTCCAGGTTATGTAGTACATTACTGTATGTCGCCATGCACTAAACCCTCACCAATAAGACCTCAGAGACTGGCAATGTCTGTGACGTTGGCAGCAATGCAAGGCAACATCTCTGACTGGCCAACCGTGGAATGCCACCAGTTTCAATGTATAAATGCATGAACGTGGAGTGGACGGAGCACGCCAACAGTCACTAACCTAGAAGCCGCGCACGCATCTCCCCACGATCTGTCTGATAGCAGCAGCCGAGTCCGCTTAAACGAGGATTGCGGAGGGGAAAAGAGTCGGGCCGATGGAGTTAGCATCGATACCAGCTGAGATCTGTCGTATAAGAATGTGTGTAGCGCGATATGTAGTGTAGGCACCAGCAAAACAATAGACCAGAACCATAGGGGAAGCATATTGTGTGGAGCTGACGGTGTTTTACCAAAAGCAAGACTTGAGACCTTACTTTTTATGTCTGCTAGAAATACACTAAAAATGAAGGTCAGCTTTGGTAGCATTGTAGTTTAAAAAGCATATCTCCAATGCCCGATGTTTGAAGTTTGAAGATGCAGGATAAAGTGGGCGAACCAAAATTCGGGACGTTGGATTTGATACGTCTGTTTTTTTAGGGTGCTAGAGCTATGACGCGGACAAGGCCGCGCCGTGTACGGAATTAAGATTGCTGTGGATCGACTAGACCGGCTTCTAGCTCGCCTATCACTATAATTCCAATGTCCTGAGTGTTGGAGTGCTAATCGACTATAAAACAGCAAGTGCCGCTACTGCAGAGGAAAGTGGGTAATGGAGATGCGCTCTGAGTTTAATTAAAAAGGCGTGGAATCGTCATCGCAAGGTGATTATAGTTTCCTTTACGAACCACCCTGATATCATACATGTTCGGATAGATAATTAATTATACTTTCTACGGTATGAACGGGGTATTAAGCAGAGTCTGCCAGGAGAGGTCCCCTGCTGTTCTGTCAGGGGTGTAAATCGTAATAAGCTAACGTTACTGTACGGAGTACATGTGCACGGTAGGTACAAATGTAGGTCCGAGTACCCCTGGCGTGGCGATCACCGACTGAAAGTAACGTTATACTTGTACTCAATATCATGAACACATGGTAATCATATGGTCAAAAATGAACGTTTGGTACCCATGGATACGGAAGGAATTTGAGGTGAACGCTGATTGGGGTACCTGAAAAACGGGGCCCCAAGGGGGGCGCGGGTAGCTTGTTGATTGGTTGCCCCTGGCAGTTTAATCTCGTTTGGACGCCAAGGTCCAGGGACCAAGTAAACAAAGACCAGAGAACAGAGAATACGAAAGCCACAATATGGTAAAGTAAAGGCAATGATGAATACAAGTATGAATGTGTCATTGTATCCTATGCGGTATGCTATTTACATATGAATAGGAGTTGCCAAGGGCATATAGGCCCACTAGGCAGTGTGAGACTATACTCCCCCCTTTTCTGGTAATGGAAAGTATCACGCTAACGCTTTTGGGACATGGCCCGACCCCCCTCCTTTTTGTATCCTCCCTTCTTCCCCAGTCTCCAGTTCTTTCGAAGTTATCCCATCCGACCAGAGAGATTCTGTCTCTCTAACACACTCATTTGATCCGGAAAACTCACTGTCCTTCTCTTCTGTACAGCCTGTTCGAAACCGCGCCAGCTTACTGTGATTTGATGTACGTGCCATTTCCCCTTCTTTATATCTGGGACAGGTTTCGCGATTGGGTGTCCATCGTCTGCTAAGATCGAGGGACAAGCCCCTCGCAAGTTATGCAACGACACAACAATGCGACAACGCGCTACGCTATCAGATGATATGCATCGCGTTTGAGAGATGCGATTTGATATAAGCTCGATACATAGCACGATGGACATATGGCGGCAATTGCACAATATGGATTGGACGCGACTAACACTTGCCTTGTCAACAGACTTGAATCAATACTATGAAGTTCTCCAACACTGTTGCCGCGCTGGCGACGGCTGGTCTCGCGACTGCCCATGGCCACGGACACGCTCACCACCACAAGCGCGCCACCGAAACCGAGACTGTCAACACCGGTCCCGTTGAGTACAGTTTCGTCGTGTTGGACCCTTCCAAATCCGGTGCTCCCGAGGCCATCAGCATCAACGAGGCTTGCCAGGGTCTTGCCGACCACAAGTTTGAGTGGCTCGATACCGCCGTTGCCGCTGCCTGCTCGTCCTCTAGCACTGCCACTCCTACCTCGACTTCCACTCCTGCTCCTACCTCCACCATTGCTCCCGCTATCCTCCAGGAGACCTTGGCTGCGATCACTCCTTCTAGCTCGAGCAGCACCGTCGAGCCCACCAGCTCCACTAGCTCTGCCACTGCTGCCGCTACCAGCAGCTCCTCCAGCTCCAGCAGCTCCGGTGCCACTGGTCTCACCGCCGAATTCCCCGATGGAGAGATCGACTGCGGTAGCTTCCCCTCTGAATACGGTGCCGTCGCCCTTGACTACCTTGGTCTGGGCGGTTACTCTGGTATCCAGTACGTGACCCTGGTCGACGACCTGGTCAGTGACATTGTCACCGCTGTTACCGGCGATGAGTGCCACAGTGGCGCCATGTGCTCATACGCTTGTCCCCCTGGCTACCAAAAGTCCCAGTGGCCCGATACCCAGGGTGCTACTGGCCAGTCTGTCGGTGGTCTGGAGTGCAAGGGCGGCAAGCTCTACCTTACTAACCCTGGCCACAAGCAGCTTTGCATTGAGGGTGTTGGCGGTGTCCACGTCAAGAACCAGATGTCCAGCGACGTCGCCGTTTGCCGTACTGACTACCCCGGTACCGAGTCCGAGACCGTTCCTCTGTCTGCCGTCTCCGGTGCCACCCACCCCCTTACCTGCCCTGACGGTGACACCTACTACAACTGGAAGGGCAAGTCCACCTCCGCCCAGTACTACGTCAACCCCAAGGGTGTTTCCGCTGAGAAGGGTTGCCAGTGGGGTGACGGCAGTGAGCCCATCGGTAACTGGGCTCCTCTCAACCTCGGCGTTGGTTACACCAAGTACGGCAAGTTCCTGTCTATCTTCCCCAACACCCCGACCACCACCAAGAAGCTCGACTTCAATGTTAAGCTCGTCGGCGACAACCTCAGCGACGAGTGCCGTTACGAGGGTGGCACCTTCTACGACTCCAAGGGTGCTATCAGCGGCAACAGCGGCTGCACTGTAAGTTTTCTCTTGAATGTCCTAGATTTCATCCATACTAATCAATCTTTTCTAGGTCGGTGTTACCTCCGGCGACGCTTACTACGTCTTCTACGAGTAAATGTGTCGATGACTTAGTCGGTGGCAGTCTTCACAAAGCACCCAATGGGATGAGCATCTCCCGGCCGAATGGCACGAAGGCGAGAAGAAGGAACGCCCTCAACTCCCTCCCACACGTGCACTTGTCTATACCATGGTTACTTGAAGTGTCGTGTTTTCCTTTCTGTGTATCTTAGGTTCTATCTTGTTTTATGTGTGACCTGGACCGAAACCATCCAATCCTTGTTGCCCCCTTTTGTTCTATTTCTTACGACCATGTTTTCCCCCGGGTCGATTACTTTTACGGGAACGATATTTGTTTATTGTCACGGTTAGATTTATTTCTCTTCTGTATCTCTTCGGATACCAATCAGTCTTGATTAAATCTATCTCTTCGTTCCTTTGTCTTCGGTTGGTCGTCAGAGCTTTGGATCTTTCTGCTCTTCTTTTCTCTCTTTGGGTTTTGTCACTGTGTCGAGGGATTGGGGGTGGTGAGGGTGAAGGTTAAATTGAAGCGGTGGCTGACACTGGAGAATGGACTAGGGACTGCAGCTGGTTCTGTAACAGTGGGTGGGTGGTCAGCCAGCCACTTGACTTAGGCTGACACCCAGCATACATGAGGGTGGCCTAGTCCTAGCGAGATCTACTGCCTTATTTTTGAATGAGCGTTTTTCTTTTATGCATTCATTTCACAATCTCATTTTCTTGTTTTCATACATTGCTACTTGGTAGTATCTATCATGAGTGTTTTGTACGGATGCATACCTCTATAGTCAACCATGTCCATAAAACCAACCATGTATAATCTAGAAGCCAGCGAGTCTGATATTTGACAAGCACATACCGTCCAACAATGATTATGCACGGTCGTCTAATGTTAGGGAGTAGCCAATTATTACCTGTGGTGGCGAATGCTTGGTGATATGGTTTGTGATAGATCACCTACAGTGATGCGATGTAGTGCATATCCCCACAGAAAGCTATAAAAATGCATAGTTATATCAGAGATCATACAAGAAGTTATTGACAACAGTAATTAATCTATTCATCCTTGGTTCTTGTTCTAGTTGTTTCTATAATATTTGCAGAAAATCAGGGTTCAAGCTTCTATACCGTCCATATATATATCTTCGTGAACAAGCTCATCTTGACCCCCGGACCATGTGTTCAAACGTACAAGGCGTTCAATGTGCTACAAAGTCATATGTGTGCCCTATACCTCCATCTCAAGATCATCAGCTAGAGGATAATTGTTACAACTACTGCAGAGCTTAAGATCTCGTGGAAACAGTGTTTGAATTGCACCAAAACACATGACATCAAAAACGAAAACTACCCGAGGCCCCACCTTGGAAAACCCAAGAAAAAACAAGTGTTTTTCCAGCTCCTAACCGCTTATATTTCCTTTCTGGCAATCGGAGAAGAGAACTTTCTAGACCAATCACGTACCAAATTATGTTGGCTGGGAAGTGAATCAGCTCAATTGGGGGCTGGGAGAAACGCGACTGGGTGGTCGGATGTCCATTTCGTGACAGCAGTGGGGTTTTGTGGTTCTGTGCTAATTGTATAGTCGTCTGGGTTTTGTTCAATACCTAGGTGCCACTAGTACTGAAGGATCTGACTAGGCCATCTATGTTCAAGAGTTGGGATATGGTCATGTCTGATCTTTGACATACATACTTAACAATGTTAACTATGTTGGACATGAGAGAATACCCATTCCTGCGGTGACCGTAGCTACCAAAACTCGCGTGAGGTCACGGACACGTGACTTGAGACGCGGACGCGCTTTGTCATTTCGAAGTGTATAGAGTTGACACTTTGAATTATAGCAAAACAACCCTCCAAGTCGCGCCCTTTCACGTTTTTTTCTATAATTTATTAGAAATGCATATCTCAATTACCTATATAATTAATTATAATCGCGAATTAAGAGTGGAGTGTCGTGGGCGCCTATCGAACGCGTCTCGGGCTGTAAGCGTGCATTTCCGCGCAGGGACGAGACGCTCCGCCCCAGGGCATTCCACCACCACACACCTACCTTTTTCTTCAATGCTTCTCCTCCTTTCTCCTTGACCAATTCCTTTCCTCCCACCCACACCCTTTTCTTTAGGGGAGGCCTTGACGTCTTTTACGTCTCTTCCTATAATCCTCTAGGTCTTTCTCTCTGTTCATACAACACGCGGTGACGCGGGTCCTCGACCACGACTCTGGGTTTTTTTCGTGAGTGTGAGCTCGTGACGACTTCGTCCCACTAAATATCATGGAGTCTTCTCCATTCAAGAGTAGCATTGCTGCTCAAGCCGCCGGCATGAAACGTCCAGCGGCGTTGCTGCCTGCCTTTGAGCCTTTGAGCTCATCACCCTCCCTTCCTCGGCCTCACAAACGTGTAGCACGCGAACCCGAAGTCTCGACCTATCCCACGCCAGTCCCGACCTCATCGACTCATATAATGTCGTCGTCTCCCCCTCCTGGCGTCGCTGCCTCCCGGCCTTCGCTGCCACGGTCTTTTTCCGCTGCCCTCGAACGGGCTCCCCTGTCTGCCGTGCCCTCGATAATGCTGTTGGAGAATGGGGAGCCTATCCTGATGGGTCGGTCCAGTGTCTCGTGCCATCACCAACTCGCTGCCAGCCGCATGATCTCTCGTGTTCATGTCAAGGCTACATATAAGCCTGCTCCGAACCCGTTCGATCGGGATAGGGTTGAGATCGTGTGCATGGGATGGAATGGTATCAAGATCCACTGCCAAGGGAGGAAATATGACCTAGCCAAGGGAAAGACCTTCACGTCGGACATTAAAGATGCGGATATCATGATCGATGTTCATGATGCTCGCGTCCTGGTCCAATGGCCTCGCGGTGACAGGAGGGACTGCCCGTCCACCGACTCGGAACAGACCAGTGATGAAGCCACACCAACCCAGAGACGCCAGTCTCGGCGAGAACTACAGGAAAGTCCACTGCTGGAACGTCAGCGTCTGGCTTCACCTGTGTCTCCGTCGCCTGCTGTCCAGCGTCCCATTCCCCCATCCTCACCTATCTTCACACCTTCCCGTTCTCGCGTCGATGTTGTTGTCTTCGAAGATGAGCCATCCCCATTGAAGCGTCACAACACTGTCACTGGTGTGACCTCCCAGAGTGCCCGTCGTGCCACTGCCATTCTCAATACCTCGCACGCGAGTGAGTTCAGCGACCACAGTAGATCTGAGGAATTCTCCGACAATGACGAGGAGAACGACCCTATTGTCCACTCCTTCGGTCCATTTGGCGAGAACCTCCTTCCCCGTATGGCGTCTTTCCGTGCAGGTGATTCACCCGTTCGGACTGCTCGCTCCCCGCGCAGCTTGCTGCCAGCCCAGCCCCTCCAGCCCACCCGGTCTCCCAGACAGCCTGCCAAAGCCCACGAGAATCAGGAACACGATACTCCCGATGCCAAGCCCCAGTACACCGATGAACGGTTCGAGCGAGTTCGAAACCATGCTGCCAACCAACTGGCTTTCTCCCGCCTCTCGTCGACACCCTTCTCTACCATCCTGAACAACCTGCCTCCTGCGTATTGGCGATCCAGCCATGCGAACGTCTCTGGCCCATCGAAGTCTGAGATTCGCACCATCCTCGAAACGACCAAGTTCATCGGAAGAGTTGCCCGTGAAGGAAAGGATGCAGCAGGCAAGCCCCTCGAGAGTGAATACTATTACATCCCTGACGAGGATGACGACGTGATGAGACGGTCCGCTGTGGTGAATGATCTTCGGAAGCCCGGGCTGCGTAACTGTCGGAAGCAGCACAAGGTGAGTACCATCCATGTCCCTCCATGAATATTTGCAACTTCAGATCCTGACTAACATCTCATCAGCAATACTTCTGGCGCAAGCCCAAATGAGTCATTGACCCAAAGGCTCAATGTCTTTCCGTCATCGGATGGGCTTTCTCAGTACATATTTGCAGTGATTCTTTGTCACCCCGGTCTGCTTGACTAGGGTGACTCGCATAGCGTGGCGTGAGGCATACCCTGATTTTAATTGATTATTCTTGTTCTTTTCCCTCTTCGCTCTGCTGCTTTTTGGGGTATTTCTCTTTTTTTTTTGTTCTCAGTATCGACTTGTCTTGTACGATACGTGGTGTCCCAAAAGCGCCTGTATATCGGCTTGGCTTCTGGTGGGCCTTATAGAGCCAAAACTTGGTTTCCAACGATGCTTTTTGAAGTCGACTGCTTTGTTTGCTTTGCAGGGTCCTCACACTCTTGCTTATACTAGCTCTCATTGTGTGTTGCACCTGCCTCTTTCTTGTTTGGAAAGATCTTTTGCGAGCTTCATTTGTGTATCTGTCTCTGGACAGTCGACTCTCATGTCACGCGTACCTTGCGGACTATACTTGTACCTTACCCTCTGCCTCTGCCTCGTTGGTTTTTGCCATTTCCTGGGTCTGCTTTTCGATGGTTGAACGCAATCATGACCTGTATGCTAGCTCGTCAATTTCAGTGTGTCACTATTATAACTTGGTCTTTGGAAGTAGGAGAGGAGTGTAAGTACTAGTACGTAAATCATATGCAAACTTGGTACATACATGTACTCTGTATAATAAGTTAACACATTCATGTGATAAACATGAGTTCCTGTAGCACCTAGCAGTGAAGTGACACAGCAGATCCTCGCTGCAGGGTTCATGCCATTGTCATTAACACCATCACCATCAAGGTCACCATGTCAATTGAAGTACCAACACAACATTGAAAAGCTACCCGTCAATGCTGTCATAATTTAAAAATGCAATCAACAACCTTTCCACACAAACCGAATCATAGCCGCTCTATTTGTCGGGATAGTGTATTCCATCGCCACCTCACGTCATACTGTAAATCACCCCTATCGGATATCGCCCATTCGATCACAGAGGAAATACTTCTCTCTATTACCCTGGACGAGGTCGTTCTACAAGTCCCTTATCTCCCGGGATCTCAAATACCGCGCCACTCAACTAGACTGCACTTTGCATACCCCTCACTAGGAGGGCATATAAGAGGCTATAAGTTATGAGCTGTGTTAGGGAGTCTTTATCATACATCTGATATCATATCTCGGGTTGAGCTATAAGTTACTACAAACGAACGAGATAACTCTTACATACTACCGTCGCCTCACATCATATTCTACCATCTACCATCTACCATCTACCATCTACCGTCTACTCCGTCCATCTACCTGTCTACCACCATCGATCCCACCCACCATGCCCTCACACGAAGAATACAATCCATTCGAAGAAATGCACAGGGAGGAAATTGCCATTCTCCCTGCATCTCGAAACCTCGACTCCTCCGAGAAACGAGAGTCGCCCAATTTGAATCGGGATGAATGGAAGCCGACGTTTGATCGTCGGCAGAGCTGGAGTAGCCAGGATCAGAAGCATCAGCAGCAGGAACGGTTGCTCGGATCGGAGCAGGGGAGGGAGATGGGCTTTACGGAGGCTCATAGTGGGGATTAAGTAGGTCTTGGGATTGGGATCTGAAACGATGGATACTTGTGCTTGTGCTTGTGCTTAGTGCTGGGATCGTCCTTTCGGTGCGGAAGTGGGGGTCAGATTAGGATTGGGATTGAGATTTGTCTGGGGTATTTGTAGCAGTCAGATTGAAGTAAAAGCTAACAGAATGCATATTCGTATACTATGTCCATGAATGTCCTCCAGGGTTGACTAAAAGAAGAGATGAAGTAACGTTATCGCACAAGTTGGATAAGCAAAAAGTCCGCGATTCACCTCCGCACCGCCTTGGAACTTGGAACTTGGAACTCGGGCTTCTCCAGCTTTCTATCTGAAGCTCTGGATTGCTTTTCTCCTCTCTACATTCTCCATTCCCCAATGTGGCATTTCAGTCACCTAAGCGCATTCCTTTCGGACATTCAGAAAGGACCCCACGATTGAACCTGTGGACACACAGAAGATGGACCGCCAGCGGAAAAGTACAGAATCCAGACCCAAGACTCACCCCCGCAAAAACTAACATGTCCTCACAGGGGAGCTCCGCGACCTAAATGAGCGAGCCTGGGCAGGCGAATCCGGTACGAGCAACTCCTCTCTGGTGATGGTGGTGACGATGAGGATGGAACTGGAACTGCCTCGCGGTCCCGCCCCATGTCCGAAATGATACAGAGACTAACACCAACGCAGATGTATTCACCACGAGCAAATCACTCGACTCAGCGCTGAAAAAGAACACCGCCTTCATTAAACGTCTTCGGACCGGAATCAGTGCCTCCGCCCTTTCCACTTTCCTCGCTGACATCCGCACCCTTTCGCTCCACAAGTACCTTTCCGAGATCATCTCCGCCTGCTATGAAGGTCTGTGCAAGCTCAAATCGCCCGGAGAAATCGCCGCAGGGGTGGAAGTTGTCAGCGCGCTGCATCAGCGTTTCGGACCATGGGAGTTTACGCGACAGATTGGTTGGCTGCTCGGCCGGGGTCTGAGCACACCGGATAAAGCACAGTTGAAGGCTTTGACTCAGGAAATCCGCGAACGGGAAGAGAAGGACCGATTGTCTCGTCATCGCGTTCTTCTCAGAGTTATCACGGAGCTTTGGCTGGTTAATGTTCTCAAGACCCTGGATGACGTCGAGCGGCCTGAGGATCTGGGCGCGAAGGGCAAGGATGGCGTCGTTGGGATCGGTGGCAAGCCCTCAGACACGCCGCTCAAGGCGAAATCGCCGGCTGCTGGAACGAAGGACCAGGACAAGCAGGCTGAGCCGTTCCCGTTGGAGGTTCTGAAGGAATTGCTCGGACATGACCGCGACCATACAAATCTGCCGCTTGCTGTGCTATTCGTAAAGAGTTTCAGCTGGGATATTGTCGGCTCGAAGCTCGCAGAAGATGGCAGGAAGACTGTCGAGGCGGATGGTGCTACGACTTCCAGCGCCGATGCCCAGACCGAGAGCAACGGCGAACCAAATACCGAAGCTGATCCACCTCTGATCCCCGAGAAAACCCAGCAGCGGTTCAGAAACATTTTGAATCGGTACCTTGATGATGTGAAGGCGCATGTGGTTCGGGATCAGAGAGCACTGGCAGCGCAGAACCGCCGCAATGCTGAAGCATACGTGAAGAGCGGCGAGATCTTTGAGGACCGTCAAGCCAACTTTGAAAAGCAGAGCAAGTCCCTGGAGAAGCTCGTGGCCAATACTCAGGTGCTATGTGAGGCCCTGGGGACCGAGATGCCCGATCTTGCTGAGAAAGAGACCACCGATGCTTCGGCTAATGGTGGGATCGGCCTTGTGAAGACCGCTGATTACCTGCGCGGCCAGGGCGAAGGAGCCGGAATCTGGGAAGACGAAGAAGAGAGACGCTTTTACGAAAATCTAGTTGACTTGAAGGGGAAGGTGCCGGCGGTGTTGTTGGAAGATGGCAAGAAAAAGAAGAGTGATGCAGAAGAGGCTGGAAAGAAGACTGACGGCGATACTAATGACTCGATAGAGCCTTCGAATGAGAAGTCCGCTGCCGAGGCGGATGATCAATCGACTGCAATCGCGAGTAAGACCGTGGGCGCCCAGGTGGATTCTCTTTTGGCCAAGCTTTCGGAGCTGCAGACAAAGGACCAAGTCGATCAATTCGCTCTGGACTTTTGCTGGGTCAACTCGAAGGCATCACGGAACAGACTGGTCAAAGCTGTGTCGGATATCCCCAAGGGCCGCGTTGATCTTTTGCCGTTATATTCTCGGCTGGTCGCAACACTTGGACAGTACCTTCCAGATATCCCGCAAGGAATTACCACCTATCTTGATGAGGAGTTCAGAAGTCTGCAGCGGCGCAAAGCGAAGGAGTTCCTTGGCCAAGTACGCATGGGCAATGTGCGCTATTTAGCCGAACTGACAAAATTCGGCGTGGTTCCAGAGCATATCATCTTCCATTGTTTCAAGGTTTCGCTTGACGACTTCTCACGCATGAACATTGAGATCATCGGAAATCTGCTCGAGAACTGCGGCCGTTACTTGCTGCGCAACCCGGAGACAGCGCCCCGAATGGCATCTTTCCTTGAGACTCTGAGCCGCAAGAAGGCCGTGCAACATCTGGCTCAACAGGAGCGTATGGTCATCGAGAATGCCATCTACTATGTGGACCCGCCACCACGCCCTGCCATCCAGCAGAAGGAACGTACCCCCATGGAGCAGTACATCCGCCGATTGATCTACCTAGATATGAACAAGCGCAATTACACCAAAATTCTGAAGTCCATTCGCAAACTTCACTGGGAGGAGCAGGAGGTTGTCGAAATCCTGGAACGCGTGTTCAGCAAACCAGTCAAGGTCAAATATGGCAGTATCCATCTTTTGGCAATTCTCGCCAGTGCCTTGTACCGGTACCACCAAGATTTCGTGATCGGAATAATCGACAACATTCTGGAGCAGATCACACTTGGCCTCGAGCAGAACGACTTCAAGTTTAATCAGAAGCGCATTGCGGAAGTCAAGTACCTGGGTGAGCTTTACAACTACAAGATGATTGATTCTCCAGTCATTTTTGACACGCTGTATCGCATTATCACCTTTGGTCATGAAGGTGGTACCCCGGCTCCTGGAAGAATCACCATGCTCGACTTGCCAGACGACTATTTCCGTCTGCGCTTGGCATGTACACTTCTCGATACATGTGGCCACTGCTTTGATCGTGGCTCAGCTAAGAAGAAACTGGATTTCTTCCTTTCGTTCTTCCAGTACTACCTGTTCACCAAGGACCCACTGCCCATGGATGTGGACTTCCTTGTTCAGGATACATTCTCTTCTATCCGCCCACAGTGGAAGCTTGCCACAGATGCAGAAGAAGCGACTAGAATTTTCAGCGAGGCTGTTGCTCAGAACTACAACGTGCAGGATTCGGAGAGACCGGTGGAAGCAGAAG